AAATTTGCTCATCGGGCGATCGCCTTCGAGTTTTAAGTAATACTTAAAAGCTAACGGCGGCCGGACGATAATCTTTGGGGTCACTGAGTATAAATATCATCGAGCGGACATCGTTCGGTCGCCGGGCGGCGACCGGGCGATGATTTTTTTGATCGGGCGATTTTTTGTTCTACTAAAACAGCGTCCGATTTAAAAGGCGTCCAGGCGGACATCGGCCGGGCCCCGCCCGGTGCCTGAATAGAGCTATGTAGTCAAACGATTATCGCCCGGTACCCGGACCATTCATGTACAAACACCGGGCGATCATCGTTTTGTCATCCGGCGACCGGGCTGCTTGTGTTTGTTGTAATTTCAGCTTGAAAAGTTGTAATTGCCTCAAAAATATATTTGTGAATTTCTTTTGAATACTAGTAAACATGAATTTTTTCTTCAATGTCCATGCGAATGTCTGATTGATTTTCGCCTTCTACGGCCTCGATACTGGCCGTTGGTGACTCGTTGTCAACAACACGGACCAACTCCTTGGCCTTCCCCTTGGGTTTGGCAGCTGACTTCTTAGCTGGCATAATTACAACTGGCTGATTTATCTAGGATGTCATTAAATGTAAAGTCATTGTCGCCCGGCGCCCGCGCGGCAACCGTCCGATTCACTTTTAAATCGCACAGGCGCCGTACGGACATAAATAAATCCACTCGGCAAAAATCGCCCGACGACTGTTTCATTCGTGACCAAGGTATCAGATTTAAAATCGCCCGGCGTCCACGACATCAAAAAATCTGCCGATTTTATAAAAATCGTTTAATCGGACGGCGCCCGTTTTATTTGTGACCTAGGCATTAATTCACGGTCGCCGTTCAACTGCGATTGAATTGACATGCTCAATCGGGGCAAGTTTCCCTAATTACATGTACATTATATCTGTGTTCTATTTGCTAGCTTATGCTGAACTGATATTACTTAAAAATATACTATGCTTAAATTTTATATCAGAAAATATTGAAAATTGCTACACAGTCTCTTTGTAAATATGAAATAAACATGTTTTGACTTCACACAATGTTATGTTTAAAACTCTACACACATAGGTCGTCACAATATGAATTTATAGTGTCGTTAAATAAATGGCAGTTTTTTAAAGAAAATACCAACTTTACATATCCTGTATTAGAGAACGTGACTTCCAATATAGTATATTATTCAATTTTATTTAAATTAAGCATATTCAGTAAGAATTTCATAGGTTTTTATATATTTCTTCTATAATAATATTTTACTTAAAGATGAGCATAGTATATCTTTAAACTAACAAAACAATTGATCACGCACATCGCTTATCAATTTTGCTCGGAATGGTTTACAGTTGAGCGATGCTAAAAAGTATTTTATTCTTGTAAATACAGAGCCAGACGAGGAACAGCGAGTTTTTCCACGAAGTAAATCTCAGCGGACCTAATTTGATTCGGACATTTTGTAAGTATCGTGTACATAAACTGTAATTGGATAATGTGAGCCCTTACGTGACTGGACGTCGATCCCGAAACGCTAATACATGTTAAATGTAAATAATGCAGATGAAATTTTGGTCGTGGCGCAATTTACATAAGGGCGGTAACTTCAACAATGTCGAAAACGAAAAATTCAAAGTTGGACAACCTTTAATATAATGTATAATATATGATAAATGAAACAGGTATATAAGACTGTAGGCTTTAGTTAATGTTTTTAGATGCACTGAGAGGCATGCATAAAAATGCAAACAGTATAAACTGCAAAATCATTTTTGACTATGTTAATCATTACTTTATTTCCAAGTGGACAGAAATAGATAAATAATAGAAAGAGCATCGAAACACAAGGGGGCGTAGCACCCGAGTTTAAATCAGATTGCCGAGTGTTTTGATTTTCTTTTCTTATGTATCTAAAGTAAAAATAAAAACTCGTTCCCTGTTGTCACAATATGAATCCCCCAAAAATAATGAGCCAATCAATCGACATGCTCTGGAGTGCGGTACCTATTACCTACACTCTAGTTAACGCAATGTGCAACAAAAAGGTGCCCAAACTATGCTGCAACATCTGTTATTGTATAATCAAATCATTGTTGATCATTATGTTGATGCATGACCATTCTTTATAATATGATTTTCTTCAATATTGACCCCTTAAACAACCTTCCAGCATAGTCAAAAGAGAAAAGTATTGGAAAAAATCAGAAGCCAGATGTGCGCTGAATTTGTAGCAAATTGAAGACGAACTTCATCACTTTAGAGAACGGTATATACATGTACAATATATGTATTTATTATTCATATCCTACTTTGTTAACTGATTCCCTGGAGATATCTTAAATTATCAGTCATGTATCATCAATATATTATTATGATAACAATAACACGGTCACTTTGTTTACGGATATTGGTAAAAAATCCGGAAATTGCCTATGGTCAAATATCCCATATTATTGTCCAACAATATTGACCTGACACTTCATAAACTTTCGCAAAGGTCATTTGAAAAAAAACATTGGCCAGTATCTATCGAATACATCTATATATTTGCTTACTTCACTCGTTAGTAAGGTGTGGTGTATTGGTATCTGTCGGACTACCGATCTGAATGTCGCCGGTTCGAATCCTTACCAACACCACGTTATACATTTAAAAAAAAAAATATTTGCAAGAATTAATTTTAAATCGTTTTACTTCACGTGGTTTTAGAATACCTTTTAAGTGGTGATTTATACACATTTATATATTTTTATTTCATTACAGTATCTTTCATCGGTTCTCCGATCGTATATGCTTAAGCGCATACACACTCTAAAGGTAGTTATTAAAAACACTACATAGGCAGTACACACAACAGTTTTAGGTTTTAAGAGAATGACAGTTTTAAAATTAATATTAAAAAAAATCGAAAGGAAAAAAAAACGCTGAAATATGATTCGAACCTACCAGTCCTCAAGGCTTAGTGAAATCCCTTTACCAAAGCGGTAAGAGGGATTATTGATTTACACCATTTAAACAATTGGATATTTACATTCACTACGACTTACAAGTAGATCGTAACGTTTACGGAATACATCGACTACAGGGTCAAATACAAGTTTGCAAGGTCAATGCTGCTATTTTTAGTACGTTGTTAATGTCGTTTGACGTGTGGGCATTCGGAAAACCTCATATGTTATCCATAGGCCTTTAATGAACTATGACGGAAATGACCGAAAAGTTGCAATTGCGGCAATGTCAAAATTAAACATTTTACTAAACAATTATAATGGAGGTTGTCTTACCATCTTAATGAATGTAATATTGCCATAGCACCAAAAGCCATCTAAACTGCTATATAAGTTCAGAATACACGACATAAAATAATGAATGATACAGTGCATGTACATGTTTTAAGCTGATGTAAGTGAGAAATTATCATACCAGTTTAAGAGTCTGAATGATCTTTTTTTTATAAATAGACGCATTGAAACTGATTTTTTCATTCGTACATCCAAACATTTGAGCAAAACAACCCAAGGAGGAGACGAATTGTGGTACTTATAGACAGGTGGTCTTTATTTCGAGGTTAATTCATTCCATTTTATCTATGTGTATTAACAATGGTCTTTGATTGCAGGGTTTTATCATTTCAGAGGTGGTCTATAACATCGGTTTCACTGTATAATTATTTGTGAACTGTGCGTATTATATAATCAAGAATACCGACTTTTGCAGTTTTGCATATTGCTGCCTATATAGATTGTGAGTGAGAAATTCGACTCGGATACATATATAAACACGTGCAAAGTAAGCAAGAAGTTGGCCAGCATTCTTCATCGCACAATAATTGTGCAAATGTGATATTATATATAATATCTTATAAATATATAATGTCATTTAGCACGAAGGAAACACAACGGCCGCTGAGGTGTAGTGTTTAACATACTGGACCAGCAATCCAGAGACCTGTGGTTCGATTCTCGAATATACATATGATTTACATCAAAACAAGAATGTCACGTGCATAAATAGAATTTTCGACAAACCGACCACTGTTTTGTCACGAAGAGACAATAATATTTCTAAAATCTAATTTTCTAAATCGAATTTGCTTTTGATAATGAAAGAGCGCTTGCAGGTGACACGCGGCTTCAAAGACAAGGTTACACATAATAACGTAACTTTCAATGCGTTTATTCTTCGAAGTTTTCAATTCTCCGTCTTTTCTTGAAGAACTTGTGAGGAAATTATGTGAAAATCTTTACCTTAAATAATAATTGTTCTTGATTAATGTGTTGATAACAATAAAATGATGTGAAGAATTTCCGTGCACAATTAAAAACAAAATGGTAAAACTTTCTTTTTTTTTTGTCTGCTTTTTATGTGACACGTTGAGACCATGTGTAGATATTTCTCAGTATGGGCAACATGATCAGAAGGCCAAGTATACACTTGATGCTGCATGAAAATATATTACATAGGGCTTTCATGTTCGTGGTCGCCCCATCACGCAATAAATAAATGTTGTTGTTTTTTTTTCTAGAATTTTCGCATAAAAATCAGTTAAACAACACGAATTATATGTTTATCAATTTTATACATCTAGTAAACTTATTTATATTCGCATGGCTGAGTCTTGTCGGCGACCTGAGGGTAGGCAGTTTACTGCGCTTTTCTCTCAACCGAGTTCAAAATCACAATTATCTTCAGTTTCAAGATTTCTTATAACAGAGGAGGTAATCAAAAAGATTCTGAAAAATCTGGTAAGAAATCTGTCGCATAGTCAGTGGTATTGCCGGATAGGCGGAGGAGGGGATCGAATAATCTTTCATCAAAAACGTGCTATTCAGTTGATATTATTAAATATACGGCCACGAAGATAGAGTGAGATAACGTGAACGGTACAATGGTAATCAAATATTCAGATTTGATTACAGATATCGGTGTTGTTTCACCTGCTTGTCCATTTGTTTGTCTGACTCTGTAAGAAAAGTTAATCTGTTTATCAATAGAGTATAGATATATACACACATAGCATATTTATATCAATGTAATTTTTATCCGCGTTAATTAGAAAATACGCGATAAAATTCTGTTTTGTATTAATAATTAAGTTATATAGAACTCTTATTTCTAGTAACATATGTAGAAAAGACATATGAACGAACTTGTTTTGCATTTGTGACATTGGAAGTGTCTATAATTATGACAGGAATAGTTAGACAAGTATTCTGTTCGGAGGGAATTCGACTTTTTATATATGTTGTCACAGGAATGATTTTATTACTATTCATACAGCAACAAATGATCGTGACGCCGAAAATTGTAAATTTTGCAGACGACATTTCACGAGACAAAGAACATGGTATTCTTTTTTTCTCTTACTTTTAGACATAATATGTCATATTATGTTTTTTTTATATTTTAAATGAGCTTGTGCAACATGTCTTTCTTACATGTCTTATGTTTTTAGTTATTTTTTTAATAGCAGAGTCGATATTAAATCTTAAAGAGATAATTGTTTCAAATTTCAAGTGTTCTTGTAAAGTAAAGTGTAAAGTAAAGTAACGTAAGGTAAAGTAAAGTAAGGTAAAGTATAAAGTAAAGTAAATTATGTTCCTCCATGGAAAAGTTGTCATATATTTGCAAAGAACAGTTTACTTCTTGTTGTAATTTTCTTCTCGTCTGGAACAGGATTGAGGAACGCTGTCGCAAATTTATGCAACTGGATACTACAATGTATTATAATATGGAACCAATAGTTAAAAATTTAAGAATCTAAAACGTGCTTCATTATTTTCATTAGATCAACTCTGGTATATTATTACGTACTGCAAAAAAATAAAACAAAAGAAATTGGCCTACATGCCAAAAAATAATTAAAAGGGGCATAACTTTCCAAAATGAACTTTAGGATTATCTGCACTTCTGAAATGATGCCATATTTTGATAGTGAACATGTATATCAAGTTTGAAGTGAATAGGTTTCTGAAAATATGGATCTTAACAAAAAATACCATAGCTAAAAATCTGAGTTAAAAAGAGGCATAACTTCGCATTAAAATAATTTTAGGATTATCTTCCCTTTTGAAATGGCGTCCTTTTATGGCAATAAATATGAATGTCGAGTTTAAAGTAAATAGTTTTTATACTTTCTAACGGACTCAAAAGAAAAACTTAAACCGACGCTGACGACAACGCCGACCCTAACAAAAGGGTTATGACAATACAAATGTAGCTCCATTTTTTATACGAAAAGTGGAGTTAACAATAAAAAACGAAGTCTGCTTAGACTCGGACCTACAACTGCTTGCATATGAGAAGAGCATTCTACTTCAGCACCACTTTGTTATCTCAATTTAATACTGCGAAATCAACGTGTGTTAAGTACACGTTAAATGATTCCCTCCCTTTTCGATTTTGAATCGCCCTATTAAATAAACACGTTTGTATTTTTTTCGAAATGTATGTTACAGTAATGTTTTAAAATATATATGTAAAGTGCATTAATGAATTCATTAATCATTACAGCATGTAAAAATGTTGTTTTGATTTGCATTTGTGATTGTGTAGATTAATTTTAATAAGCAGCTGTTGATAATGTCGGATTGTTTATGTTTTTTTGCAAGTGTATAATATAATGAAGTTATTCTTTTTGTTTAAATACATCACATTACATTTTATTATATTTATCAGGCATAACATGTTATAACATTCATAGCCATATCATATCAAAATATTATACAAACGTACATAATGAAGAAAAAAAAATAAGCCCGCATAGCTAAATCGGTAAGAGCGCTCGACATAGTGGGTTAAATGCCCGGGCTGGCCAACTAAAATTTCGAATCAGTTTTTCAGATGAGACTTTAAATCGAGGTCCTGTGTAAGAATGCTTAAACACTTGTTCTGCTAAAAAAACCAGGACAAGCTTCTGGAATTGGGGCATCTTTCTGTCTCGCACTATCCTCCAAAATCTAAAATGACTAATACTCTTCTGGAGGACTCGCTCATATGGGCAACCGGTGGCGAGTATAAACAAACTCACATACACTCAATAAAAAACAACAACATGGTTTCATTTGTTCAAAATTCTTAGGTTAGATTTCTCAGTTTGGAACACATTACTGATAGATCCTATCATTTTATTTCTTTTTTAAATATTTTCTGATATAATTAATAAATACATGGCGCGGGTTTACTTTTAACTTTGCATTGACATTATTTTGATGGGAAAGATTGAATTTTACAAAAAACAGTTTATTTTCTAATAAAGGTTTGAATTAGCTTATAGTTGGTCTGAATACTAAAGTCATTAGTGCTAAAGGCAATATGCAAATCCAAACAGATGTTATTTGATACCTGCCGGCCATTATGATGACATGTATGATTATCCTATAAATAGATTTTATCACGTCACCTGTACAAGCGTCTGTCACGGCATTTGCTTGTTTTCTATTGGTCAATTTTTTAACTTGAATAAAACCATTGTACCGGTATTATTTTTAATCAATTTAATTTCCTTTAATAGTATTATATTTATTCATCCACTTTACTTCTTGAAAGTTAAAGCCATATTTTCCCATCGTGCAATTTTGTTGTGTAAATGTTGCTTGCTAACACCGCAGAACCAAAGAGTCGACAGTGCGAGCGCATTCGAAGTATAAAGTCGAATAAAAATATTCACAAAGAAAGGGTGTTTTGTTCTTATTTTATTTATTTATTTATTTATTATTATTATTATTATTATTATTATTATTATTATTATTATTATTATCATTATCATCATCATCATCATCATCATTATTATTATCACAAAGAATGGTGTTTTGTTCTTATTTTATTTTTTTATTTATTTATTTACTATTATTTTTATTATTATTATAATTATTATTATTATTATTATTTTTATTATTATTATTATTATTATTTTTATTATTATTATTATTATTATTATTATTATTATTATTATTGTTAATTTAATTATATTCTTTAAAACGAAACATTTTATGGTAACATTACTACTTTTACAAAAAAGATCTTCGGGCTGACCATTGCCTAGCAACCATAGATTTACAATGTAGGTAAAGAAGCAGCCTGTAACCAGCTAGGTATCAACATCGCGCCTGTGCATTGCCTGAAAGGCTTGCTTTTCGGTTGAGTCTATTGTTTTGCTGTAGAGAAGCATATTTTATGAGCTTATATTTCGTTATTGAACAGAAAACTGTTAATCGGTTTTAATCAACAAGCAAAAACACAAATTGGGATACAAACTGTTACTATATTCTTATTATTTGTATTATTTATTTGTATAAATGTTAACTGTAATATTGACTGGCTTAATACATGTATAATATTATTTACAAAAAGTAAATGCTTAGAATGGGAAAGAAATATTAAGTTTAGGCGTGCTATTTTAGACTGATTTGGTTCTGTGAGAAGAGGAATTTTCGCGAGCATTCTGATATTCAAGGTCAATCTTTCCGCCAAATTTAGAGGAATTTAATGAATGTTTTTAAAGCTGCATGCCTCTAGATGACCCAAAGTATTTCAAGAAGTTCAAAAATAAAAAAAAATGTACTAAGATTTAAAAAAAAAAGTAATTCAAGAGATAATGACATGATATGTGACTTACGCAGTCAAAACTCTTCACAGTGATTACCTCCCTTGGCAGATCTCTTTACTAATAAGGGGAGAACACTGAGTAGGAGATCGGAACTCAGTAAGACCTATTTTTGCATATTTTGACCTCATTATGGTAATTTAAGTGTATTTATGTGCCGTTTGCAATGTGTAAATTACTTGTTTTGTTTACTTCACAATATTTTTCTTTAAAATAACTTTTTAGAATTTTCAGGAAAATTATCATGAATCTGGATGAATTATTACTTATCTTTGCGTGGCATAAAGAAGCATATATAACGATACAGGCAAAGTATGGGTAGCAGTAACAGAATTAACTCCTATTTAATTATATAAGGCGTTACCGCGTTACTGCACTGAGGTGACGATATAATGGTTATTATACTTTAGTTTAAAGGTGAATACTAGTACTTCCACAGGAAATTATTTAATTAAATTAAGCTATTTTCTTCTATATATAGAAAATTGACCTATAATGCTACTATATTATTGACTTCAGACTGACCTATATTATAAACAACTGTTGTTGAAATACAAAACATACATTCTCTTTCACTTTTGTATGACCTTGACCTTTTCCCTTTACATGCAAAGCTAAGTCACAGAAATTTTAACTTTATGTTCATTACATAGCTGACGTTTACCTTGTTATGTTATTAATTTGGTGTGGTTGTTGTTGTTGTTGTTGTTTTAAATGGACATAATAACATTTCTGGACAGGTATCTGAAACCTAAATGTCAATCTCCTTCATTTTGAAAAATTCAGATCCAAAATATGTGGTATATTACAGATCTGCACCTAATACGAATATACTTCCATTAAAGATTACAAGCTGGCCACAAGGCAATACAACTATTTTTCTGACATCTTTCTCATTGGTCACTGTACATTCTATGCTAGTTTCTGACCAAACAAATATCCGGGATCAATATCTGAGATTGAGCTTAGACAATTGCTGTCTTAATAATTCAGGAACCAGTCCTAATCATTTCTTAAAGTCATCTGAAAAATTCTAGAAACCGATTTAAACATATTTTTCTGAATGTTTCTTTTTTAAATGATTGTCTTTGCAATGTTTTCTATAATGCAACACCTAGAGCAAAACAAAACACGACCCCCATGCAGCTACTCTATTAATCGCAACTTCTCGACCTATTCCGTCAAACTTCGGATTATAAATGCCGAGATGTTCCAATTGCTGCACCATTAAAATAATTTATTATCTTTCGTATTGAAAAATTCTAATAGAAGGCTCTTGAAACGGCAACTGATCCGTGAACATGAAATTAAGTTACATATTGAGCACGACACTAGTAAAACAGTGTGCATTACTCACAAAGTTAATAACTACAGTCCTATAACTGTGAACATTCATATCATTAATAAACAATAATACTTTTATAGATTGATGTTTTTTTCGTTTCAGGTACAGATAAGAGCGTCGTGAATGAGACAATTGATAATGCCAAACAGACGATTCTTAACGCTGCATTTTCGCCGAAAACATTGTCTCACGTGATACAAAATACAGTTACAACACAAAAGAAACAACGTACAAGAAAACCGAAAACACTGGACCCTGGGCTTCTCCGTATAGATTTAGATGCAGACGACTCGAGACAAATTGCATATCACGAGGTGTGTACTGATGAGACGAGATGGAATGAGGAGCTTGCACTCAGATTAGGACGTTTAGCTTCCGACATGAAAAATTGGAATTTTGAGAGTACTGTCGAGTGCCCAAATATAAACATAAGCAAAGTTATGTTTCCAAAACCAAGACCCAAACTGACCTTAAACTGCAGACAAAGCCATAGTTCATACGTGCGCGTAACACAAGCAGACGATAATAGTGATGTTCACTTGGCGCCATTTGGTGACAGGTGTGTGGATAAATATATACAGGAGTGTTGCAAAGGAAAGTTTCGTGTTCCAAATATTATCCATTATGTCTTGTACATGAGAGGGGAGTTAAGTTTTGTGGGTTTCACGAGTATGTTAAGTGTAATTCGCTTTGTGAAACCATGTTTCATAATTTTCCATGGCGATCGTTTGCCGTATGGATCATATTGGAACTTTATTGTAAATATATCACCGAACATAATTCATCTAAAAAGGGAGCGCCCAGAATTTGTCTCAGGAAAACAAATAAAGTACAGAGAACACTCTAGTGACCTCATGCGTATTGAAGCATTAATAAATTATGGCGGTATTTATATGGATACAGACACAGTTATTGTAAAATCCATTCAACCTTTAAGGGACTACCCATGTGTAATGTCAAACCAAAGCTCAGGCTTGATGGGCTCGGCTTTTGTTATGGCCGAAAAGAACGCTAAATTTCTACAGCTATGGTTGGATGGTTACAGGTTTCATTACCAAAGATCGAAATATACGAATAATGCAATGGTTTATCCGACAAAAATTGCTAGAAAGAATCGTGATTTGATTCACATAGAATACGGAACAATATCCAAGCCAATCAATATGATTGGCGGGAAAATTTATCACCCGGAATACGCCACTTACAACTGGTCACATATTTATGGAATACACCTGTATAGTAGAATATTTAAAAAGCCGTTTAATGAATATTCTATCAGGAATATGAACTCAACTGTGGGATCTATAAGCCGCCATGTTGTATTCGGCAATAAAGAACTATGTGATTAGATACGTCTGTTGGAATATTTGACCAATAAAGTGGAACATTGGGCGATGTGTAATATTAAGACAGTATTTCATGTTGTTTTTTTCCAATGCTTAAAGACTTAACGAGTATTTACTTTGAAAATGTGAGTGTTTAGCAAGTGAAATTTCAAAAATAATGACACTCAAAAGAAGCGAGCCTTAGCGAGCAACAGAGGGATACTAAATATTAAAGTTTCAATTAATTGATATTTGCTTAAGCATTGTTATACCTAATTTAACTTAGAATGGGCTACCATATTTAATTTAAAAATGCACATATCGTTTCTAACTCATAAAACTTATTAACAGTTCGTCTCAACACACCAGTATAACTTTCGAGATACATTGAGTACAGGCACTTTTGCTCCTTTTTTTTTGAAAATTGAAGTAACATTTTGTATTTCATTGGCCGACTAATATTGTTGAACACGAATGAGTATGATGCTTTGTCAGTATTGTATAAATATTATGTTAAGTTTTATAATTTTAAAGGTTGAAATAAAGAAACATTCACAAAACTACCTAAACTGTGTAAAGATTTTACCTATTTTTTTTTTTTTTTCATTGACAAAAGCCAATTCAACTGCAATTTCTATTAAAACTTTGCCTGCTGGAGGCAATACACATAATACCCGTGCGATCAACAAACTTAAAATCACGGTCTGCACTGTTCGCTGTTCAGTCAGTTCATATTTTAAAATATACATGATGCCAACTTATCCCCCTGGACCCTACTATAAGATCCGTTATATAACAGCCTCTTTGCCATTCCCATACAGACGAATACATAAAAATCTCTTTTACCGAACAACGCACCCCTAGTTACAGATTATTTACAACAACCATAGATTCTCTTTCTTTCCAAGGACAATATGAATGTGACTGAAGTTCAGATCTTCTTTTATTCTACATGCAATTCTGATAACCACCGTATGTTTCGCTTACAGTATGATTCGGATTTCCCGAGAAACTATTTTTAGCCATGACAGCCATAGAGGAAATATCAAAATTTCGTTGTCAGTGGAAGAAAAAAAAATTGTTGATTTGTGTTGGAAAAAAATGTTTGAAGTCATTTGAAACAAGTGAACTGGAAATAATAGATTCAATTTTGAATACGAAATCGTGAAAATTACTTCCTCTTTTAAATTAGAAACCAAATCGCTTTCAAAATTGTGAAAACTCGCCGATGATTGGCTTTTTGAAAATAGACGAGAAAGTGACAACCTATTACTGATCGTCAGATCCGGGCATAACTGCTGACATCTCAGGGTTGCATACTCTTCAGCACAGGCTGCTCTTTGTGCCTTAACCATCGGATGTACAATAATTAATCACAGAATGCATGGCGGAAACTATGATTTATAATATATGATCTTGATGCCCCACCGAAAGGAAATTTATTGATGCGAAGGGAATTCCACAAATGTGATGAATGATGCAGACACAATATCACATGTGTCAGATATTTACATATTACACGTGATCACGTGTGACACCTATATACCAATGCCGATTTCTGACTAATTAAAAGCGGTATGGCAGGGCCGTGCATATAGTTTCGCAATTTTTGCATTACGGCATATGAGTTATACAAACATAAAGTTAACACATGTTCATGGCGTTTTCGAGAGTATCATATTAGTTATAAAGATTTTGATAGGCTATACAATATGGTCATATATAAACGGTTGTTTGGACATATAATATATAAATACCATGTCTTATTTAAAAAAAAAGCGGCAGTCGTGTATATAAACTTTATAATACTGCATGTTGTAACGTAACTTTCCTTTGGATAATCCAGACGTTAGTTATAAAGATTTTTGGTTTACTTGTAACTTTGTTTTCTGATTTTTACATGAATACAAGTATTATAAAGAATTTCGATAGCTATATACGACCATATAATCTGTCGGATTTATTTATGACGAATTCATAATACATCAAGCATTTTTTTGGGGGAAAAAAGTGAGATAATTTCAAAAATCGACGGCAGTCATGTATATAAATTTGTAAATGTAATAAAAGTGCAGTATTAAAATATACACAGTCATATACACAAAATTAATATAAGGAGGTTCAATATAATTATATTTTTTAAATTTGGCTTGATGCTAGAATATGATAAAATAAATATTTCGAGTGAACAAAACTTAGGATCAACGATCTCATTTTCTGTGCGTGAATTGGATTTTTTCCCTTATTTGGGATTATTTCAGGGACAGCTAAATCAAATATACGTCTGAAAAAATCTTTTTTACCGCTTGTTATGCTCTTCACTATATTTGTGTACATTTTCAAAAAAAGACTTAACGATATAAAATATTTATGTTACCCTTTTTTAAATTTCATTTCATACTTAAAATTATACCATATTTGAAACCATTTTTCTTTAATAAATGTCCCAATTTAAGACAAAGAAGAAAAACTATAGCTCTAAAACGCGCAGGTCTTTACAAAAAGTAATAGAGAAATAAAAATGAAATTAATATAAATTGGTGTTCTCAGAATATGATAATATAACACAGTGACATTCATATTCAAGAAGCATGTTCTGTTTATCTTTATGAATATCACTTTTATATGTCAGTAGGACAAAAACATTGTTGAACCTAGAACTTACGGTCTTTTTTAAGTCCAAAGTTGAATGTGGATAATTTTATGATAATTACAACAAAGGAATTTTCAATGGAAGGAAAATGGAAGCGGAACTCGGACATCTATTTGTACGAGCGTATATACAATAATTAATATCGTTTTAAACGCTAAAAATATACATAAATGGTATCGGGCCCACCTCACTGCGTTGCAATCGAATCCACCGCCGTCTGCGTCGAAATCATTTTTGTCATTTATTTTATAAACAGGCAATAATAATTTCCCAAATTTCCAAAATATGGTTATTTTGTAAAAGAATATTCATACGATGTGATGCCGTTGTATTATGGGGTCATTTTGCACACATTTGTATGTGTCTTAACCAAAATTAGGCAAAAGCGGCGTCCCCTCGTCAAACTGTACAGAAGTGTTTGCATATACGGCATTGAATTGCACCGTGTGCGTGTAATAAGTCGAAAGAGTACATATGTGGGCTCCAGTCTCACTTAGTATTTCCAGTAAAACATTAAAACATAAAACAAAATTCAGTCATATACTTACCGACAATAGCAAACCGCCATATTTTATCCACCGCTCCTGCGACGAATACCCCACCGCCGCTGTGATGGACCCACCGCTTCTGCGAAAGCTATGGCCAGTGTGACATACATACATACATACATACACACGCTCACACTGCACGCATACACATCAGAACAATGCGACACATGAGAATGCGTGTATGGCAGGGGTCGAATATATTTATTTTTATTTTATTAAAGTGATTAAAAAACCGCACGAGTAGGGGCATAGTGACAGTGACTATTATATATACACATTGTTCAAATTCTTCCAATTAGCCAGCAAACTTGATAGTTACACGTTATAACGTATAGAAATCACTTAAATTTTTCTTGGACAAAGATCGCCAGATTTTGATATATTATAGAAATGACTCATTAAGATTCGTCAAAAATGTTATCGAGTTATGTTTCGCATTTATGAGAAAACTTGTCCTGAAATTGAAGTTAAGAAGCGTCCATTGCCGAGCAGTTCAGGTCGTTGACTGTCTCTAAACGCTGTGGGTTCGGATCTCGTCGGGGACTTGGGATTCTCTTATGTGAGGAAGCTATCCATTAGCTTACGGAATTTTGATGGTCAATCATCCGCTCGTGCCTGAAATAATGCACGCAGATATGGCAGAGGGAACATTAGGTGTTCCTCCACCAGTAAAGCTGGAAAGATGCCAGAATACTTTGTTGGTGCGACACAGTTGAACCAGATAAAAAAATCAATCAATCAATAAATAAATAAATAAATAAATAAATAAATAAATAAATAAATAAATAAATAAATAAATTGTTCTTCAGGTGAACTAAAATACATCAGTAATTTTTAAAAGTGTTTTGATCATTTGAGATGCGCAATGCCAAAACCAACATAATCGGTTTGCGACTAGCGTGGATTCAGACCAGTCTGCGCATCCGCGCAGTCTGATGAGGATCCATGCTGTTCGCTATCAGTTCTCTACTTGTTATAGGGTTTGTAAGCGAACAGCATGGATCCTGATCAGACTGCGCGGATGCGCAGGCTGGTCTGGATCCATGCTGGTCGCAAACGCATTATGTTGGTTTTGTCATGACGCGGATCTTTTTTTTCCAGTTTTTACATAGCAAAAAACGACTGCCTTTAGTGCTGCTCTTGATTCAGAAGCAACGTTTCTGAGTCTGCAGAAATTCTCCAATTCAACTGTATGTATATTTTAAACAACGCTGGAAATGGGTATGATTGCGCCAGAGGGCACCTTTATCTGGAACATACATTCTGCATTTCAAACTAAAACACGTGTGGCAGACTATATAATTATGTTAATCATATGTTATTAACTGTTAGATAGTGCGGGGAAAATAACACAAAAAAAAAAAAAAAAAAATACAGCACGCGTATATCTAGTGGTCAGTCTGTTTGGATTTGAGTATCAAGCGACTGCAATTATCTCTGTAACATAAAATATCGACTCTGCTCTCCCCGGTCTTGTCCATGATGGCCCCATCACTTTATAAATCCCCTTGATATTTTTCTCCTATTTATTTTTTTAACTATCCTAGTTTTGACACGGATCATACGTTTATCAACTTTCATCATCTAGTAAACTAGTTTTATTTTGCATGACTGAGTCCAGTCGGTATAGTTAAGTATGTGGGTATATAATTTTTAAGTTATATAGATCTATGATGTCTATTAACATATGTAGAAAAGACATATGAACGAACTTATGTTACATTTGTATTAACATTCACAGTGTCTTAAGTTATGGCGGGAATAGTTAGGCTAGTGTTTTGTACGGAGGGAATTAGACTTTTTATATATGTTGTCACAGGAATGATTTTATTACTATTCATACAGCAACAAATGATTGTCACGCCGAAAATTGTAAATTTTGCAGACGACATTTCACGAGACAAAGAACATGGTATTCTTTTTTTACTTTTAATTATGCCTTTGCAACATGTTTCTTATGTTTTTTGTGCTTTTTTTATTTTTTCATAGTTGTAAAAATGCTAATGATGACCAAAACAAACAAATAATAAATACATGTATAATCAAGATAAAAGTTCATACAGACAGAAATCCAGTCAATCAAAGATTTTTTTCTTTAAACTTTTAATATATATGTCATGTGTAAACATTAAAATGGACAAATCCGAGTTTAAGGGAGAGCAGAGTCGATATATGAAAAATATCTTATCAAGTGTATGAGAGACATTACTAGTACAC